CGAGGGAAGCTGTGGAGGGAATCTCAGGAGGAAAACTCAGGAGGATGGAGCAGGAACCCCACCACCCCGTGCAGCCACCGCCGAGGGGCTGGCCTTTCTCGGGGAAGAAGGCCCCGAACCTTCCACTTGCCCCCTCAGTCCTGGCACAGCCTCTCCGAGGAAACAGTTTTCCCGGTGGTTTTGGGCACCGGCTTCGTCCAGGGATGCCCGAGGGAGCGAGTCTGGCCGTGCCGTGGGGCTCCACACCCCCTCGAGCCGTGGGGCCGCCGAGGTTCCCGGAGTGGTCCCGCTCCGGGACTCCTGAGCCCTCGCTCCCTGCGTGTCTCCTTCAGGTCCTGCTGCTGATGGGAATCTCCCTCCCGGCCGCGCTGCTCAGGTGGGTCCTAGAATCTCCCTCCCCCCGCTACCGGAGCTGGAACCGGGGCTTGGCAGCAGCTCTGCTGGTGAAATTCGTCACCAGCCCTGCCGGGACATTTGTCACCAACCCCGTCTTTTCCAGCCTCCTGGGCAGCGGATCCATCCTCGCTGTCGCCTCCCGTCAGGGGCGGTGCTGCCACATCCAGGTGAGTGTCATCGGCTCCTGAGCACCCAGGTGAGTGCCACCACCCGTACTGCCACATCCAGGTGAGCGCCAGCAGCTTCCAGGAGCACAGGGCCCCGAGGCAAAGCCAGGCCAACCACGGGAGGGGGGCAGGAGATGCAGGATGTCCAGCACTCCCTCCAGCCCCCCGGGAGCAGCCGGTGCCAGCCCGCGGAGGGTCGTGGAAGCTCAGGGGGGGAACTCTGCCATCCGAGCTGACGCCGTGCCCCCTCCCCAGCTGCGGCCCTTGTCCCTGCTGGCCCTGGCAGATCTCCTGGCTGCCGCTGCCCTGCTGGGCACGGCCACGCTGCAGCTGCTGCCGGCGCCGCTCGCTGTCCCCGCGTACGCCGCCTGTCCCTACGGGAGGATGCTGGTCACGGTAAGAGGGCACCGGGGGCCGGGACCCCCCTGGGCCCCGTCTGCGGGCTGGGATGGACGGACAGGGGGCCCGGGGGTGGTCAGTGCTGCCGGCCCCGAGAGGCCACCCGGTCCCTCCGCGGAGGCAGGAGGAGGGAAGGGGCTGGAGGGATAGTGTGGGCTGCAGGGCACGGGGAGGGAAGGGGGTGGTGCGGCATCGGGGTGCAGAGGGAAGGGGGAAGGTGCCCTGGGGGCGCTGTGCACAGCAGGACCGACTCCCTCTCCTCCTCCAGACCTTCTACTCCGTCTCGTTCCTCATGGTCGTTGTCTACGCCTACGAGTCCTATCGCACCGTCCTCGGCGGCAGAGCCCGGCCCCCGGCAGCGCTGCAGGTCCGTGACCCCACCCGTGTGAGCCGGGCATCTCCCTGCCCACACATGGCCCTGCCAGGACCCGGGGGGCAGTGGGGGGATCCAGGACAGCCCTATTCCCTGGGGCACTGGGGGTTCCCCTCATCCCGATGGAAGGAGGGCTGGATCCTGCAGCCCCGGCTCAGAGCAGGATCCTCCCGCAGGAGCAGAGCCGGTGCCTGGAGAGCGCATGGCAGGGAATTCCCTACGTCCTGGCCTGGTAAGTGCCCCTCTCGACGCCCCCCGCCCCGGGCTGTCCCAGGATATCCCGGGACAACCCCCCTCCCTCTCCCCCAAGGCTGGTGCCGGCACTGACGCTCCTGGGGCAGCTCCTCGCCCGCGGCTCCTCCGGCACCGACATCGCCCCCGTGGTGCCCTGGAAACGGAACGGCTCCCACGACACCTTCGGGCTCTACTGCTCCAGGTTCGGACACAGGGCGGGGCGGGGGACACCCCCTCCCTGTCCTCCACGGGACACTATCGGGGGTGGAGGCTTTGGGCTGGGGGATTTGGGGCTGGGGTATTTAGGGTAGCGGGGGGGGGGGATTTGGGGTTGGAGTTCTAGGTTTGGGGTGGGGATTGGGACATTTTTGGTTGGTGTGGGGGATTTGTGGTTGGAGTATTTAGGTTTGGGCATTTGGGGACGGGGTGGGGGATTTGGGGACCACCAGCAGTATCCTCCGTCCTTTTCCTTCCAGCTGCCTGCTCCTCATCCACAGTGCTCAGGATATCTGCTACCAGGTGAGCACTGCTGGCTGCCCGTCCCTCCCTGCCGGGGCGGGGGGCTTCAGGGGTCGCAGGCCCTGTTGGAAGGCCGGGACAGGGGTGTCCCCGTGCCCCCGTTCCAGCAGAGCCACAGGGGCAGCTCCGGCAGCTCCCAGGCCGTGGGGTCACGGCACAGCTCGGGGCAGGGCTGACCCGGCCCCACGGAGTTCCCGTTCCCTTCCCAGTACATCGTTGAGAACGACGTGGGGCTGGCGGGGAAAATCATCTTCCTCCTGTACCTGCTGCTGGTGCTTGGCTGCTGCACGGTGAGGGCGCGGGGCAGGGCTGGGTTTGGGGGCCGGGACAGCCCCGCTGACCCCCCCGGGACCCCTCCCCAGCTCCTGTACCGCCAGGTGAGGCTCCGCTGCCGCGGGACCGTCGCGGTGCCTTTGCTGCCCCTGGAGAGGGACGGGGGCTTCGGGGGTGGGAGCAGCTGCAGCGCCAGCAAAGCCTCCCGCTGCTTCCAGCTGGTCTTCCTGCTCTGCTGGACGCCAGGCAAGTCCGGGTGGGGGTGTCCCAGGGCCCCCACGGCCCTGCAGGGTCACGGCGGGGGGATGTCCCACCAAAAAGTGTCCTCCTGTCTCCCACCCACAGCCTTCCTTCTCACCCTCCTCTCCTTCACCAGCATCAAACCTGCCTCTGTCTTCGTCCTCTACGTTGCTGCGGTGAGTAAAACCCCATTTCCAGGGCTCCCGAGCCGGGCTTTTGTCCCCACCCCAATGTGTCAGTGGTGCTGGGCCCCGCAGGGCCAGGGGCTGTGACAGGGCTTGGGGACAGCCTGGTCCCCGCTGGCCACAGGGTGAGGACACAGCCCTGGGCCTAGCCTGGCTCTTCCCACCGGGTTGGAGGTTAGGGTTTCACCCCTTGGCTCCTCCCAGGGGGGGGTGATGTGGTTTAATTAACCACATCAAGAGGGGAGACACCTCCCATGTCCCTGTGTCACCTGTCCCTGTGTCACCTGACCCGGGCCGGTCCCGGGGGTCTGCAGGGACAGGGAACGGCAGCACTGGCCCTGCCCTCTCTCTCTCTCTCCCCCAGGCCCTGACCGTGTCCCTCCAGGGCTTCCTGCACAGTTTGGTTTATGGCTGGACGAGGGAAAACTTCCGTCGGGAGGTGCTGGGCAGGAGCACCCCCCTGCAGCCCCCCCGGGGCCTCCAGGCTTTCTACGACGAGTCCCTGGGGGCTGTTCCCTGATTCCCTGGGGGCTGTTCCCCGAGTCCCTGGGGGCTGTTCCCCGAGTCCCTGGGGGCTGTTCCCTGAGCTCCTGCCCGCTCCCCCCGGGCTGCCCAGAGCCCAGGCAGGATCTGCACGTCCCTGGCTGCTCATGGAATCACGGAGTGGTTTGGGTGGGAAGGGATGTAAAGCTCATCCAGTGCCACCCCCGTGCCATGGGCAGGGACAGCTCCCACAGCTCCCTGTCCGGGCAGGGTCTCCCTGGACTTGGTCCCTCGTGTCTGGAAAGGTTTGAGGGCACAGGAGGTGCTGGGCAGGTTCCCACAGTGAAATGAGTGTCCCCCGTTGAGACCTGGAGCTGTTAAACAGGGATTTAATCAAACTGCAGAGTTTTTAAGGCATTTTTTACTCTACACAATGGCTCGGATAAGCCGGGATTTGGGAACGGGGCAGGGCTGAAAACCTGGTGGGAGGTGAAGGGGGCAGAGAGAAAAATGGACAGTGTGGAGGAAAGGGAAAAGGATGATCCTGGAGGGAGACTATTTACAGTGGCCTGGAGGGACAGGACACAGGGAATGGCTTCCCAGTGCCAGAGGGCAGGGATAGATGGGATATTGGGAAGGAATTGCTGGCTGGGAGGGTGGGCAGGCCCTGGCCCAGGTTGGGCAGAGCATCTGTGGCTGCCCCTGGATCCCTGGAAGTGTCCAAGGGCAGGTTGGACAGGACTTGGAGCAACCTGGGCCAGTGGAAGGTGTCCCTGCCCATGGCAGGGGTGGAACATCAGGAGATGATCTTTAAAGTCCCTTCCCACCCAAACCATTTTGGTTTCCACGATAATGAGTTTGCAGGAGATGGGGCTTGGGAGAAATGCAAAACTAAAAATGCATCATTGAGAGTGATAATGCCAGAAGGAGGAAATTTGGGCTGCTGAGGAACAGCTACAGGATGATGGGGGAGTCCCCCAGTGGAGCTCCCTGGAGGGATCTCAAAGCCCTGTGGATGTGGCACTTGGGGACACGGGTCAGTGGTGGCCTTGGCAGTGCTGGGGGATGGTTGGACTCCCTGGGCTCAGGGGATTTTCCAACCCAAATGATTCCATGGCTCCCTGCCCTGGGCAGGGCAGAGGGACACACACCAGGCAGGTGCTGTGAACACCCCGGAGGACTCGGATGCTGATGGCCAGGAGTGACCAAACCCCACAGCAGGGACAGCCCCACCCCAAACCAAATAAACTCCACAGACTCCAAACCAGGCCCCATCTTGCCTTCAGGTTTGTTTTGGGGTTTTTTTGTTTGTTTTTTTTTCAAACTAGTATTTTCTACTTTACAGAGTGTTTGGGGCCAGCAGGGCCCCGCAGAGCTGTGCACGGACACACGGACTATGTACACAATATACACTGTCCCTAAGGATACTGGATAGAATTCCATGCTCCAGGGAGGGCAGAGGCACTGGGAGGCCCAGGGGGCTCCTGCTGCTCCGTGCCTGGCTCCAGAGGGGGAAGGTAGGAGGAGTTCAGTCACCTCTGAGCCCCCCCCACACCTCCCCAGCTCCAAGAACGGGCAGAGAGCGATGGAAACGGTGCAGCTTCCACTGGGAGCACTGGGAATGCCACAGCTCTGGGCAGGATCCATCCTGCCACGTGCAAAAGTGCCGAGTTCAACCACAGCAAGGCTTCTGACAGGACAAGGCTGCCAGATCCCTCCTAATCCCTTCTGTTAGGCAAAAATTTCAGCCCTGGCCAGACACCCAGACGGGGAAATGCAGATACGGAGCAGCAAAGGCCTTGAAGGGCTCACAGTGAATCCATTTCCAGGGCAGGAAGGGGATCCCAGGCAGGAGCAGAGCAGCAAGGCCCAATCCTGTGCATTCCCTCTTGGCATGGGCTGTGGAAATCCAATTTTCCAACAGGTAGTGAGCTGAGTGAGCTCAGCCATCCCAGTGCCCCCGGCACAGCCCCAGTCCCGGCTGCCATCGGAGCACAGACCTGACCTTCCAGGCACAGGGAATGGTATTGGAGCCAGCTCCTCCCAGCAGCCATCCCAGGCACTCTGGAGAGCTCTGATCCTTGGGGATGCACCAGCCTCTCCTTCTCTGGCTCTGCCCTGGAGAGAATCCAGCAGTTTTCCACGTCCAGAATTCCTCCTCCCGCCTCTCCCTGCAGCTGGAGCTTGAGCTGGGATGAGCCAGGCTGCTCAGGGCAGGGACAGCTTCTTCACCTCATCCTCATCATCAGGAGCTGTCCTGAGCCCCAACCAGGGCTGCTCCTGCTCCTTCCAGCCAGGATGAGGCAATGGGAATGCCCCAGACGAGGATGGCGTGTGAGTGGGCACTACAGGCCGGGCACAGCCTGGCACGTGCTGCCCTGCTGGCAGCCACACAGGGGACAATTCCTCGTGGCCAGCCCCAGCCCAGCCCCTCGGAGCGGGATCAGGCAGGGAACAGCGCACAGGCTCCGACCCACGCTCCGGGTCACCCCAGGTGAGATCCAGGCCCCGCCGGCGGGATCGGGGAAGGAGTTTCCTCTCCAAACTCAACTGCAGCTGCCCAGAGCGGGGTGGGAGCGGGGTTGGGAGCGCCCCTCGCCGTCCAGGAGCCCTGCCCTGCGCTCAGGGGTGGTGCAGCACAGCCTGCAGGTCCTCGGGCAGGGAGCCGATGATGGTGTCGATGTACAGCCCCACCCGCCGCAGCGTCTCCTCCTTCACCGGCAGGTGCTGGCACCGGGCTCTCACCTGGGACACAGGGAGGGGACACAGCACTGCAAAACGCCTTCACAAGTTCCCCTGTCCCCTCTGCCTTTGCCTCTGGCACGTGGTCCCTTTAGTCTGGGACGTGAGACAACAAGGAAACACCCCTGGGCCTCAGGGAGGCAAAGAATCCTCGGAACTCTGAGCATTTCACACAAAGTCTCCCGATTGTCCCATTTCCCAGTTCTCCAGGCAGTGAGAACAAAGCTCTCCAAGGCACAGGTGCGATCCACGTCCCTGGTCTGCCCCTGCCACGGGCAGTGAGAGGAGCAAGTGCAGGGAGAGGGCAGGAAAACTCACCAGCTTCTCCCTCAGTTTGAGCACCAGGTCCACGATCTCCACCTCGGACTTGTCCTTCATCCAGGCCACAATGTCCTACGGAGAGAGAGAGGGCCTTTGCTCAGGGACATTTCCCAAAGGGATACCCCTAAGCAAAGCCTGACACAAAGGTAAGGACAGGTTTCTCATCCTCATTCCCAAACGAGGCAGACAGAGCTCTTCCTACTGTCCTGGCCACGACAGGCTCTTCCCTGCAGGAGCAGCGCTCGGGATTTCAATCCATTTCCAGCCAGAGCAGCTCTGGCATTTCCAGTGCCATGGACAAGGACCTGCACCTGCTGCCGGGGGAAGCAGCTGGAGAGGCACCTGGAGGGATTCCAGAGCTCCAGGGGGACTCCAGCAGCTGCTCAGCTCAAGGAATTGTCCCAGCAGGCACTGCCAAAAATCCTCCCTATTTTCATCAGGTATTAAGGAAGCGCAACAGATGATCATGGAATGGTTTGGGAGGGAAAGGGACTTTAAAGCCCAGCCAGTGCCATCCCTGCCATGGGCAGGGACACCTCCCACTGGCCCAGGTTGCTCCAAGCCCCGTCCAACTTGGCCTTGGACACTTCCAGGGATCCAGGGGCAGCCACAGCTTCTCTGGTCAACCTGGGCCAGGGCCTGCCCACCCTCCCAGCCAGCAATTCCTTCCCAATATTCCATCTGTCCCTGCCCTCTGGCACTGGTAAGCCATTCCCTGTGTCCTGTCCCTCCATCCCTTGTCCCCAGTCCCTCTCCAGCTCTCCTGGAGCTTCTTCAGGTCCTGCAAGGGGCTCTCAGGTCTCCCTGGAACCTTCTCTTCTCCCAAGTAAAGAATTTCTTCCTAATATTTGGGCTAAATCAACTAAAAGCCCTTGGTGCTTCCAGCTGGGCTTGGGAAGAGCCTGAGGAATGGCAAAGAGCTGGCAGGAGCAGTGGGAGCAGGACGTGGGAGCTGAGCTGCCCTTTCCCAGGTGGGACACGAGGCAGGGCCGTGATCCCGAGGGGGGCACAGATCCCATGGGAGCAGGACCAGGCAGTGCCCGAGGCAGCAGTGCCCTCACTCCTGGGGTCCCAGGGGTCCCCCTGTCACTGCTGCACGCCCTGGGGGTGGCACATACCGCCTCACAGATGGCCTCCAGGTGAAGGGCCTCCAGCTTGTGGGTCATCTCCCGGTGCCGCTGCCGGAACCAGCCGTCGAAGTTCGGGGACTTGAAGAAACGCCTGCAGGGAGAGAGGCCAGGAATCATTATGGAATCATGGAATGCCCTGAGCTGGAAGGGAACCCCTAGGATCACCCAGTCCAACTGCTGGCCCTGCACAGGGCACCCAACGTCCCACCATGTGCCTGAGAGCTCTGTGAGGTGACGCTGGGAAGGGGACAGGGGGGATGCAGAGCCGGCTCTGGGAATGCCGGGGCCCTGGCACAGGTGTCCAGAGAGGGACTCCCCATCCCTGAAAGTGTCCCAGGCCAGGCTGGATGGGGCTTGGAGCAACCTGGGCCAGTGGAAGGTGTCCCTGCCCACGGCAGGGGGTGGCACTGGGTGGGCTTTAAGGTCCTTTCCCCATGCAAACCATTCCAGGACTCTGGAATTCTTTGGTTATTGTTTCTGACCACTTTCTGGGACTTTTTTCCCTTTTCCTTTCCCTTCCCACCGAATATCCAGCTTCTGGATTCTTTCCACTCACGTTGCACGGTCTTTTCCCTCCCATTTATATTTAATTATCCATGTGGACAAACTCCCCTGTAGGGTCTCTGCTCACTGAGATACACAAACCACCGGGTTCACTCTGCCCGGATTTAGCTCTTCCTGGCCATTCTGAATTAATCAATTTACAGGATAAGTTCTGCAGGTGACCAGCCCCAAACCCCTCCCTTTGCTCCCAACCCTGATTCAGGGTTTGATGTTCATTGTAACTAATAATTCTTAATGGGATAAGAGAATCCACGACCCAAATCCTACCTGTAGAGGCCCAACCAGTCCCCCTTGAGCACACAGGTGAGCTGGGGCCCAGCGTGTTCCAGGGTCTTCATGAAATCCTCCTGGCAGAAAGGACGGATCTGGGGAGGATTCTGCACACACACAAAGTCCAGGTTAGAGAACTCCCAAAGGAACCAGGAGAGCGAGGCCTGTATTTACACTGGAAAAGGTGCACAAAGCATGAAAACTCAGGATAAAACTGCGGGAACACCTTGAGGTTAACCTTGAAACTGAATTCCCAAAGCTCAGCTCAGGGCAGCACAGGGAACATCCATCCCCAGGTTTGCTTCAGCTTCTTTATTTTAGTTTTAAAGAAGTAACAACCCTCTTCCTTCAAGGAGGGATGTGACGCCGAGTATCAGAGTGTGTGCCCAGAAACAATTCCCAACCCCTGCAGTCACAGGGAAGGAGGAGCAGCTGGAAAACCCAACCTACCTTCCACGGAGTGATGGCTCTCTGCAGAGGCATCAGGCTGGCAATATAGTGCTCCTAGGAAAAAAATAAAACCCTTGAAATTAAAATAGTGATAAAGGAGTTACAACAACTGAGGAGCCTCTTGTGAGGAATCCCTGGCATGAAAAGCCCTGGATGGGGCTTGGAGCAAGCTGGGCTAGTGGAAGGTGTCCCTGGGAGGAGTTTAAAGGTCCCTTCCCACCCAAACCATTCCAGGATTCCATGCTCCTGAGGCTGTTCCAGGGAAGGGCAAACCCCTCACCCTCCTGTGCCTCCCCTCTCCCCCTGGGGACTCTCTGGCACTCACTCACCAGGGGGATGATGAAGCTCTGGGTGAGCTCCAGGAGGTGACGCCTCAGCAGGGCACTCTGCACCTCGGAGGGACGTTTCCTCTGGATGCCCTGGAAGCACAAATGTCCCCCCACCAGGTCACTCAGGGGCCCCTGGGTGTCACACAGACACAGGAGCTGCAGCACAGCAGCCACACCTCCCACTCTCCACTTAAAACATCATTAAATTTCAAATGCCACCCCACAAAGCCCGGGTTTTG